AGCCTCGACATGCCTACCCAGCCTTGACATGCCTACCCAGCCTCGACGCGCCTATCCGCCCTCGACACTCCTACCCAGCCTCGACATGCCTACCCAGCCTCGACGCTCCTACCCAGCCTCGACGCGCCTACCCGCACTCGACACTCCTACCCAGCCTCGACGCGCCTACCCAGCTTCCACCGTCTCTGCGTTCTCACTTCACGTATAGCTTGAAAGTTTATAGTTCCTCTCAAACAAATGACGTGCCCCGACTTTGCATTTTTTTCTTCTACTTTTATACATTTTTTAAAATGTTCAGATGTTAAAGCTCTCCTTTCTCTGCCACGAGAGTATCGATCTCTGGTGTCAGCCCCTGTACCGCTTCAATCTTCTGACAAGTCTGAGCTGTCAGGCATATTGATGGTGTTTGAAAGAGTCAACATCTCCTCACGCCGGCACACAAAATCAGGGAGGGGGTTGAGAGGCCCCCTACTTCATGTAAGCCCCCCTTCTATCTTCTGTCTTGCCACATATAACACGGTCAGGCCCTGCCGGTGCTTGATTTTGTGTCGGCCACCCCTCCCTCCCACGAAGAACAGATGCCACATTTGGGAAGTAAGCGCACAGCCCACCAAAACACCGTCCCAGGGTCAGGCGGCAATGATCGGCTGTCAGGTGGCCGTGGCATAAATCGCTCAGCACGCACCCGCTTTCCTTGGCCTGATGTGCGTCAGTTGAGTCCTGCAGTGCTGCTGAAAAGGTGCTTTCTCATCTCTGCTTGGGAAGCATGATGAAAGATGACAGGATCACAGCTCTCCATGAGGCAAGGAGGCTTAATTACACAGAGAAATTGCGTTTTTTCATTACCTAAAATGAGCTAATTTTTCTGTAAAAACAACTAGAAACGTTACTTAACCAACCGCAAGACACTGACCAGGATAAGTGCTTGGAAAATGGATGGACAAAGAACTTCATCCTCATAGAATACTACTACTGATACTACCTACCACCATTTATACCAGTTCTGCTACTGCTGAAATTACTACTGACACCATCACCATAAATGAAACTGATACTACTTCCCCTACTCCTATGAATACTACCATTGATACTACTAATAATACAGTCACTATTAATACTACCATTGATACTACTAATAATACAGTCACTATTAATACTACCATTGATACTACTAATAATACAGTCACTATTAATACTACCATTATACTACTAATAATACAGTCACTATTAATACCATCATTGATTCTACTAACACTGTCAGTACTAATAGTACAACCACTATTAATACTTCTACTGTTACTACAGCTGCTATTGATGCTACTGCTAGCAATATGACCACTATTAATACCACTGCTAATACCATTGCTATTCATATTACCACTATTAATACAAAGACCACTATTAATATCACCATGATTACCACTAATGACTACCACTAATACTACAGACACTATGAATACATCCAATAAATCTACTACTACTGATACTATGCTATTACTACCACTGATAGTGCCACTATCAACACTATGACCAATATTAATACCACTGCAGTTAATATTACAGATAATACTACTACTAATACTACATACACTATTAAAACCACCTATTGAATCTACTGAAACTACTACTACTACTACTACTACTATGACTACAATTAATACCACCAGTGCTACTACTACCACTGCTACAACTGTGATCAGTAATAATACTGTAGCACTAATGCTACTCTGCTGATACTGTGACCGCTGTCAGGAAGGCCTGATGGGCACCCCAGTGTGAACATGCGGTATGTTAGGAACCTGAAGGTCAGGCTAAATGGACTGTGAAGCACTGAGACGCCACCCTGATACGCCAGTAGGAATGGGGTTAACTGACATGTTGTCCAGATCTCTGGTTTCATTGTGGGTCTGGCCAGCCAGCCTGCCTGCTTCTTAATCACAGTAAATATTTAATAAGGTCTCTTTCTGTATGCATGGCGCTTTTAATTTCCTAATTGAGTGCCTCATCTGCAGTGGGTGACCTGTAGAGAGGCGGCCCTTCTCCGACGTTAACTCCCCCTCCGGCAGGGCGATCTGAAAATGGACACCGGCATGAAATTACCCATCCGAAAAAGCAGCTTTTATATAGCGAGCCATCCTTCAATGTTTGTGAGAAGAGGGCTGAGATTCAAACCTGCAGCCTCTGGGAATAGAGCTTCATAACCAGCGTTAACATTCATCCGGCATCAGCAGCACTTACCCAGCTCAGGGGTGGAGCGAGCTCAGGGCTTCCCAGGAAATACACGGCCTCTTAGGGGTGAAACCCTGGATGGGATTCCCGGCCGTTACCGGCCACATTACCTCACAGCACCTTATCCGTGTTTTAGAAATGCAGTATTTATTTGTATTGCACTGGGTATTAAATTGCAGCATGCTTGCATCTGCCGTCACTCTGGTTACCGTAACAGATGCCACTTTTGTCCACATGTCAACTGAATTAGTGATGACCAGCTGCAGGATTCGGCTCCCTCTATCCGGGAAGAGGGCAAAATTATGGTGCTGCTGGATAAGCATTCAGAGTTCGGCCGTAATAAAGACGGTATTCATGGATGGGCGGCGATGGCTGCTTGGGTCGGGTGGCTGCTTACCACAAGGTCTTCCGTGCTGAAGGAAAAAAACTGACAGAACTAATTCCAGCCAGGCCCCACGTTAGCTACCATGTCCTGGCTTCAGGCTCCATTCGCACCATTGTCTTCTTCGTTATAATGAATTAAAACTCTACAGAATGCAGCAGGATCTCCTAATAAGAGGCCAAACGCAGCCGGCAGATAACGAGACCCGGCCGTCTGTGGGGAGAAATGCGTGAGGGTCAGCGCTCGTTAAAAGGCTCTGCATCCCGGCCGACGGCGGCCCTAGCGATGCGCAGGCCCATATTAAAATGAGCTTTCCGTACAGACGAAGCTACAGACGATTCAGGCTGCATAACGAGCTCTTACGTGCTAGGTCGACTTGTTCCTATTGCAGTCACAAAACTCCCTATAATAAGATGAAAACTTCTCTTTTATATTCACTCTTTTCTATGTGCATAGTGGCCGTAATGGTGAAGTTCCTGTCTGGCAATGCAAAGTCATGGTCTGAATGCATATACATGAAAGTCTTTTAATGGCTGCTGGTCTTTCACAAGCAGGGGCACCGAAAGAACAATTCCATGGGCCCCTAAGCAACAGGGCCCTTAAGAAATTGGGGACCCCCCCTAACGACACCCCCAGGATAATAGTCTTTTGGGGGGAAATATATTCTTATTTTTATTTATTGAGATCTGTGTCCTGCAGGTTCTTTTCCCTTAAAACCTCACAGAGTCTGCTGGATCCTCACAGAGCTCCAGTGGAGTTTCAGGAAGTCTGGAGGACGTTCACAGACCTTCATGCAGAGCACACCCATCTAAGCTTACATGTCTCACTTGCTTCCCAGACACACCTCCCATCTTAAAGTCTGACCCAGAGAGAACATTCTCGCCGTATTCGTTCCCGAGATTTAACCAGGGAGGTCGGGGGAGGAGAAGGTGACCGTCCTTTCCTTTGTCACCCCCATAAAAATGGCATGCTCCGGCCCAGTGGGGAGGGTGGGGGGCTGTGGAACGGCTAAACCATGGTGATTCAGTGGTGCCCCCCAGCTCCCGGGGGCCCTGTTCCACATCGCTCGCGTCCTCCTGCCACCTGCTGATCGATGCTCTGTCATCATGTGCTTACACAGCGCCTGCATAAAAGATACAAACTGACTTAATAACGCTAAGTGCTGTGCGGCCCCGTCTGCATCCGCCACATTCATGGCTGCCCCGCACCTCCACGTCCTGCTCACTGCGCTCTCTCCTTTCGTGTGACTTTTAAACGTCTGTCAGCGGCTCATGAAGAATCTGGGTGGTCCGCCCACGAAGGCGCTCCAACGGCACTGTGACATTTGCGCGGATGATGTTATTATCTGTGGGACACAAAAAAAAGAATGCAGTGTTTTTTTTTTTGTTTTTTTTTTTGCCGAGTTCCGGAACTTGCTAATTAATTCAGGCCCCATCGAGGTTTCTCTTCATTTGCGCTGCTGCCTAATTGGCCGTGTGCTTCATGTGGAACCAGAGCAGGCACGGCTTTCTGTTTGCCGCGACTGCAACGCGACAGAATTAAAAGTCATCTCTTTGCGAATCCCACAGCATCACAGCGCATTCGATAAAAAAATCACCTCTTTTTTTTTGGTGCAAGGCTTTGCATTGCCAATAGACCTCACAGTCCCACAGCTGAAATAAACCCTGACTTTATGTTTTCCGATAGATCAATAGGATTGTTTGGGAGGGGGTGAAGAAGGTGGGGGGGCTGGAGGATGGGGGTGGGGGGGGGGGACAGCCCTCATAGCCTCATAGTTCAGCACCCTCACGGGGGCTATTTAAAATGAGCACTGCAGCCTTACTTGTACTTTTACGACTTTACATAGCTACCGGAGGCCTGAATTATTAAAGGACACCACACCAGAAAGTGCACACAGGAGGAGTCCCAGGGCAGCATCCTCTGCAGAGGCAGACATTCTAAAGGCACGGAGAAGGACAGGCTTCTTGTCTAACTTCAGCACATGCTACCTTGAATAAGGAGGCCACCTTGCTCATAACTAACTCACCAATAACCTTAACCTGCTCTGTCCTTCAGGGCTCATCTTCAACCAAGAATGGAAAGCCCCCCCCCCCTCCCCCTCCCCCCTAGTGATTGACTAGGGGGAAGCATTTCGGATTTAGAGAGTCAGAATCTCTTCTAAAAAGTCATCTTCCTTTCGAGTGTCCTGTTGATATGGGTTGGAATTTTATTATCTTAGACTCGTCCGCCTCTGACAGCTTTTAAATCCATAATCCGCAGAGCAAAGCCGACAGGCCGGATGTCACCGGCCTTCACAAACCCCTGCAAGAATGAAAAAAAATAAAAAATGAGACGACCTTGCCAAAAGTATGGCGGGATTAGTGCTGACCGTGCTCCTCCTTCTCCACAGCGCCCCCTCACTCCATCTCCATGATGGCAGCAGAAACCCCGGCGCCATTCAGCCGCTACCAGGTGCAGAACTTCACCTTGGTGTGCAACGTGTCCGGAGGCAAGCCGGCCCCAGTGGTAAGTGCCGATCTCCCCCCCCCACACACACACCCGATCTCCCTACTCCTCCTCTGTCTCTGTGCTGCCAGACGGCTTGGTATAAACGCAGTGTGACTCCTGATACTTGCCGTTAATCCTCTCCAGGCCATTAATCATTATCTTAAGGTGTATGATATTGCAGGCTGCAGACATCAGAAATCCGTCTCGAGCAATTAGGAGCCCACCGAGAGGGGAGCAGGAGGTGAAGGCGATTTCCGGGTGCTCCCCCCAGCGATCCATGCTGGCTCGCTGCCCCCGGCCCTATAACGATCCCAGAGTGGAGGTTGTTTATGATTCCCTGGAAGGAGAGGTCTTCGAAATCCCTGAATATGAGGGGCGGGGTCGATTTTGTCTCATGCTAATCAGCAGCTGGGGTCTGGCAAGGTCACCTGAAATTCTCGCCTACAAGCCATCGAATGCATCGTGAGTGGAGTTGGTGTGTGTGCTGGGAAATAAAACGGGCAAAGCTTAGGAAAGCGGCGAACTGTGTGGATTCGTGAGCCAGAAAAGCATGCAGGTGTTATATAAGCTGAAGGAGATTAGAATCACGGTGTGACTCTGGGATCAGCCGTTGGCTCGATGGCCTGGCTGAGAACGGGAAGCAGAATGGATGAACCAGGAAGCCAATCTTAGTTGCCCACTATCTTGTGGCTTTATTGACGTGTCAGGCGCTTGTGAGTGCCTTCTCACCAGTGTATGTCACACTATTCCTCCTGCTGGTGCTTGTTCGTTCTACAATCCTCTCTGTGATGGATTTGGACCAGCAAGCATGAAACCATTATCTTTCATACTGACAACGAAGTGGGAAAAATTAATTAAAATTCTAATACAGAGAAATCATATTGTGTGAAGCAGTCAATACAAACATATTAAAGTCGTAATGAATTAATTAATAATTGCCATTTAAAATGAATGGGGAAAACAAACAAAATATTCAAGTGAGATATTGAAAGATTTAGATTAATGTGCACAGTGTGTCAGACTGTGACACATCGCTGTAGGTCTTTGAGGATCAACTAGAGTCTCTGAAGTGCCACTAAAGTCTGTTAGGATCTAATAGACTTTGTTAAGTGTCACTGTAGGTTTGTGAAGATCCACTGGACTCTGTGAAGTGCCACTGGTGTATATGAAGATCCGCTTGACTCTCTGGAACTCCACTATAGTACTGTGAGGATCCACTAGACTCTGTGAGTTTTTGGGCCCTGTGGGTTCCAGAAATTAAGTAACCAGAACCAGCTTTTGTCTGAAGGACTAAAGTACGAGAGGGATTATTTTTTACGACAACATAACACTTGTGTGGGAGTTAATCTTGGCACTTCCGCCATATGAAATGCTTGCGATGTAACCGTGCCGGGATATCAAACGGAGCCGATCTCCAGCACCGTAAATCCACAACCGGGGAGCGGATCCAAGCCGCTGGAATCCACACAGGGCTGCCAAATCAAACGGACGCAAACGAGGCCCGACGCCACACAATGGTACATCACACCACTGGAAAGCAGAAAAAGAATGAAACCCTGTCAGGTCTTGTGCCTCTGTGAGCTGCTTTAATCTATGGCGAGAGCTAAAGTTAAGAGCTTCCAAGGCAGCAACACACACACATGGATAGAAGCTTCTAGAACATCAGAAAGTCTGGGCTTGTGCTGCTCTGGGCTCTCTGTACTACGCTGTGCCATTCAGGGGCATTAGGCCCTTTCACACCACTGGAACATTCCTTTGGAACCAGGAACTTTTGTTAGGTTTACACTGCAGGAACTCGATTGTAGCTCCTCGGAGGCCGTTGCGGAACCCTTTTTTAACACCTTATCCAAACTAGGTACTTTTCGTTTGAACACAAACTACTGGAGAGGTGAGGACATTGATAAATTTGCTGATTGATTGACCACAAGCAACGGCGTTAACTTGGATGTTTACTTGGAAGGCGGACGTGCAGAAAAAAAGATGTAGCCGAGCAAAAATTGAGCAGATGGAATAATTTGTCTACTCCAATTAGATTTAATGCATCAATTACTAAATCTTTTTGCTTGTGTCTCCACATTTCTGCATCGGAAAATTTGATCAGTAACCAATATGCTTTTGTCTAATATCACCAATGAATCTTGCTAGTGCTTATTAGCTGGGTAAAGTTACATATTTTTTTTAATCTGTGGAAAATTAAAGATCGATCTGCTGGCCAGATTTAATAAGAATCATGAACATGTTCTGTGAGTAAAATATAAGGAAATATAAATAAAAGGGTGTGTCCCATTTTGATCACAATTAATCCCCCCAATAACTAACAAAACTGCAACTTCGTCCTCCATTGTTTTTGTGTGACAGTTTAGTTTCATATGAAATTATGTGTGAAGTTTAACCTGCAAACTGTTTGCATCTCCCATGCTCACTTAGCATAAAGCTCCTGGTTCCTGTTGTGCAGTGTGAAAGCGACACACGAAACTGGCCAGGGGCCACAAAAGTTCCAGGTCCAGACAGCCCAGGGACTTGTAAACCGGGACCAGGTTCCGGAACTTCAGTGTAAAGGTGCCCATTTACTGCACTGCAGGAAAGTACAAGAAAGTGCATGATGTGGGGAAGGGGTAAGGATTGGGGGGGGGGGTGAGACAGGCTTTGCAGAATCAGCTGGAGTAGAGACATGGAAACAAATGACAAAGGAAGAAAACGAATGAGAAATGAGTCTGGGGCAGGTCAGGAATCAGGCTTTGGGAGGGCCTCCCCCCCCCGCCCCAGGATATCCACACTTCTATATTTTAAATGTTTCATGAGTATCACATCAGCAGGAGAAAAACACAGAAGCAGCTCAATCACCACTTGACTTTATCCTTCAAAACAGAACTTGAAATGCCAGTAAAATTTTGTTCGTCTAGTTTTCTGGGGTAGGCAACCCTGATCCTGCAGTGGTAGAATCCAGCAGGTTTTCCATCTTGCCCCTGGTCTAACTTTTGTTAGACTTGATCATCTCCAGCAAAAAAAAAGTTCAGGGCCATATTCACTGCAGAGAGTTTCCCCAAGCAGTCACTGCTCAAACGCATGGGTACAGCCCAGTGCCCTTTCAAGGTTTAAATCAAACCAAGCGACGACGCCAACTAAACTGAGGAAGACCTTATGGAGGCAAACACGGCCAGGTGGTTTCTTTTGTAATATGGAAAAAGAAAGGCCTAAATATTTATAGCACTTTATGACATTTGTGATTAAATGTAAGGGGTGTGTTTCTTTTAAAAATAAGAATAACAGTTCAATAACATTTTTTCCTCTTTATAGATCTGAATCAGTACCAAAGAACAGAGAAAAATCAAATACAATCACTGTTCAAATTACAATATCTGAAAATGCAAAACATTATGCTCCAATTGTGTACAGTTATGGAAAGTGAAAAATGCAGTGTGACAGTGAACATTACCACATATTATGTCCGTAATAAAAACAAACGCATCCCTGACAGCTGCCTCAGTTGCATGTTGTGAGTCAGTTACATGAGTAGGACAGAAACTCAAGGGCAAAGCCCCACTAAAAACATGCAGAAACTGACTCAAAGAAAACTCAAACAAGGAGGAGTGTCTCACAACCTCCCAAACCTACATTACAAACACAGCTCATCAGGATAATCCCTCCGACTCTCAATATTGTCCCAGCTGACTCAATTTAATCCCAATAATATAATTAGTTCAATAATGGTCAGCTGGGTATTGCTACGGAAGCACAGCATATCAACCAGACCTACTCTTTTCCCTCCAACTTAAACCTGTGTAATTAAATGTACTGTAATATGTGTAAATAAAATTAAAGGTGATTAACATTAAAACCCAACATAGACTGAGATCTACTGGAGAATCCCAAAGGTTTAGCGATAAGGGTACAAATTATGATCAGCTTGTTTTGTTACCTGAAGCTGGTCCACACACTGATTCCAAAAGATCATGCAGAGATTAGCCGTTAAAGGACAACCATTTTTTTTGTCTCTTTTTATTCCCAGAATTTGCATACAATTCTTTTCTTTTCTTTTTTTTTTTTGCAAGGCTAAATGAACGGTGTCCTCAAACTTCTAGGGCTGGGATTTGATTTGCGGTGTGATTTCATGGACTTTCCATGAGATGCAGGTTTCCTCCTGCAGTCCAGCAGCGTTGCTGTGAAGGTGAACTAGTGTCTCTAAATTGTGATTGTGTGTGTGTACTGTGATTGACTGGCATCAAATTCATAGTAAACCAACCCTCTGATTCCTAGGACTGGCTGCAGGGTCTCCATAAACCTATTCCGGATAAGCTGATGGATGGATGGATGGATGGATGGCTGGATGGATAAATTATGTAATTAGGAGTTGATTTCCATTGATATGTCACAGAGCTAAGGGTTCACATCACAAAATAAAAAAAAGCATTTCGTGTCTCTCCAGTGCTCTCAACTATCTGAGGAACTCATGCAAATATAATTTTTCAGCTAAAAAGTTGAATGACAGCTGTTACTTTCTGTGCATTAACTCACGACTTAAAAATCAGGCTAGATAAGCTCTCCTGACATTTTTATTTTAGTGCTCTCACCCTTTTAAAATCGGATCTTCTGGGGAAAAAAATACTTCTTTTCCTTGTGTGTTAAAGTCTGTTAAGACCACAACCTGCTTTTTTTCTCCTCGATTTTTGTCCAGGCAGCAGAAGAAATATTACCCTGGCCTGTTTGTTTTATTGAGTTCCCAGCTAATTTCTGCTGTGTGCTGAGAAACAACAACAACAAAAAAAAAAAGTCTTAATGTGAGCTTACAGTACTTTGCTTTACAAGTAACTTTATATTGCCAATTGTCAACTGAGAGAAAACCGATACTGTAAAAATAAAGCCAGCCAATGCCGTCTTAACTGCTGATAAAGCAACATGAGCCATTGTTTTAATAATGGATCGTTTGGTACAAACAAATGGGGGATTTCAGGGGAAATAAAACACTCATGCTCATACGACACCAAGGAAACATCCATTTCATGGTTTGTGGCTGCATACCTTCCCACCAGAAACAGCTGTCAACTAAGAAACTGTTTTGTGCGCCTAAACGAGACAGGGGTACATAAACAGCTGTTATCTATGCTCTTCCTGAGTATAGCGCATTGTGACAGCTGGTTTACTCATATCTGCACTTAGAGGTCGTTTCACGTACAGAAAAAAAGGGGGGCAGGGTAGATGAATGGGAAGAAAATTAACCTTAAAGCAGAGTTTTGTGCTATCCAGTCATTTGGTTCATGTTAACGAACCATGGGAACATGTCGCCAAAATTAGCTTTGCCTTATTTCAGCAGAGGTTGCCCTAAAAAAAGTCATTTTACACAAATTCAGGCTCTGTTTAAACACTGATTGAATGAGGAGAGAATAATGGACTGTAATGGACTCTCATGAGGCAATGATGGCTTAGCTTCCAATCAGAGGTCAGTCTTGATTCGTGTCAGCCAATCACATTATTGGCACTCCTTAGACAGGGGCAGGGATGAATTGTAACAGAGCTTTGATTAGGAAGATGTTCAAACTACGGCGGGGTTAGAGTGGAGCCGCATACCTCTGCAATTCACTGGTCAAACACAACTGGTTCTCAAATACTGCTTTAATCGGAACTCCCACACACACAGGGCATCAGCTGCAAGAGTACAGTACGATATCATCGGCATGAGTAAGAATTGCATTCATTGCATTTATTGAAAGCATTTTGTTACTAAGAGGAAACAGCTGATTAATTAGCGAAAAATCCATTAGATATTTTCTAATGTCATAATTAATACTTTATTTGATAACAATGGAATATTCCACTGAATAGTGAGGCATTTATTAGACACATGTTATTAAGCCAAGGGGATATATACTATGCTACAACCTGTTCAATTATTTCCACTTTTTCAAGGCCCACTGTCTTTTGGACGGAGATGTCAAATCCAACAGCAGGCAGGACATTTCTAGGGCAGTGCAATCGCATCATTCAGCGGGATGAAAGTAACCACAGGACTGTTTATCTTACATGAAAAGACTTAACTACTAATGGATGCTATTGTTTTCTCAGAACGGGCACTAAGTCCTTGTACAGGCGAAGACAAACAATTTGACAATTAGATCTGAGGATTTTTTTTTGGGGGGGGGGGGTGAACCTTCGGTTACAGTCCTTCCAGTTTTTGCGTCATTTTCATTTATTTCTTTGTGTGTTGATTTGTTCGAAAACGCTGTCATCCAACGTAAGCGAGACAAACAGCACATTCCAAACGTACGTGCTGTCAAGGAGTTTGATGTGTAAGTGCAGCTTCATTCCAGTGAATGCCCAGGTATCAGTATTTTTATGTGAGTTTTTCCAGTGCCTTTTTTAACATTGAGGTAGTAACCTTGAGAAGAGACAGAATAAGAAACAGCAATAATATATAGGCTATGAGATGCTGAGACAAAACAGATACCCTTCATATGAGTCTTCCAGTTGAACCAGGTTGTTAAAAAGGATGTGCAGCTCCACCCACTGGCAGGAGTAAGGTACTGCAGAGGTTCGTATTTCCCAAACTGGCCTGGGTTACCCTTACTTGGCACGTTGTGAATAATGCTCACCGTAAACAATACAGAAGCAGAATAATAACGGAGTGGAGTGCAAAATGTGTGTTTATATTCCTGTTTCATTTCGTCTCATGAAGGAAATTCCCTGCAGCCACAAATGTGGCTCTGGCTTCCGTTTGTCAGCAGTTTCAAAGGGCCAATTAGCGCCGAGGAGTCTCGCAGCTCCTCCGTCGTGTTTCTGTGGAGTGAGCAAGGTGCCATGTTTTGAAAATCATCCTTTTGTTCCCAGCATGATGGATGTGTTACTTCTGTGCGTACGCGAGAAAAGAGGAGGGTGTGTTTCTTCCAAAAAAGCAGCAGGTGCTTCCAGAGCTTCCGGACAACCGGAGAGATGGATTGGAATACGCATTTTGCTCAAGGGCGGTTTGTAAAATCCAGGCAGGTAATCTTTACTTGCCGACACATCCAGTGAGATGGAGGTTAATTGGTCGTTTCCTCCCACCCCATATTTTTCCAAGAACAAAGCTCCAGTTAGATGAATGTTTTCAGTTTTTTATCAGAACCGAGCGACTTTCAGACCCTGCAAACTCTGGTAAGTTTGGACCTCCAGTTGACCCTTAATTGGATACCATCATAATTAGATTGTTCAGTTTTTTTTTTCCTGTCACGGACTCAAATTAAAGTGGGAAAGAGATGCACAAGCAGCACACACTGTAGAAGCACACTGGAAAGTCACTGCAAAAGCTCTTTGAAAACATGTTGATAAAGCAGTGTAAAAGCATACTATAGGCACACTGTAAATGCATGCTGCAAAAGCACACTGTATATGCACACTGTAAAAGCACACTATAAATGCAAACTGTAAATGCACACTGTAAACATACACTGTAAACACTTTAAAGACCTATGCTTTACAAGTAATCCAGTAATTGTAGTCTGTCAGTGAACAGCAGCCTCTGTCACAAACAAAATGTTCAAGATCTGCTCAAAATCACTTCCTGATGACAAAATATCCAGATTTTTTAAACCCCTCAGTTGTAGTAGAAGAGGAATGCCCCCCACCCCACCCCACCCAAGATGCCCCCAGTGTGGTACAACTCTCTAATCCCAAATACCTTTAGCTACAACCTCGTTACGGAAATGGGCCCCATGAGGGCCGGTCGGCGGTACACTTGTTTACAGTCGTTACGGTTATTTACCAAAGTGAGCGAGTCTCCCTGAGGTGACGTAACAATCACACTGTGCCTCTGCAAACCGGCAGGGAATGGAGGAAAAATAACAATGATAAACTGGAACTCCACACGAAATGTAGCGTGTAATGTAATGACACTTTGATCTCCTGCAAATTGAATTTGAAGGTACCTGAGCAGGTGGAGGAATCAATTTGTTTATTATTGAGAAAATCAACATACACAAAAATCTATTAGAACATAAGAACATAAGAACTAAACAAACGAGAGGAGGCCATTTGGCCCATCGAGCTCGCTTGGGGAGAACTTAACTAATAGCTCAGAGTTGTTAAAATCTTATCTAGCTCTGATTTAAAGGAACCCAAGGATTCA